GCCCCCGAGCGGCAGGCCCCGCCTCCCTAGGGGCCGGCCAGCAGAGGCCGCTGCGGGCCGGGTTGGGGACTCTGGGAGCGAGCGCTAGAAGCGGAAAAACCTAGCGGTGGGAGGGGAGGGAAGGGGAGACAGCCTTCTGGGGCTGGCCAGGGCTCTCCGAGATCAGGGTGGCTTTCTGGGGGGTGAGTGGGGAGGGGGAGGTCTATGAAGGGGCTGGTGCACCCATTCGGGGATGGGTGGTTTTGGAGAGTTATGGGGGGGTCTGGTGACGGGGGTGGGGTGGGGGGTACAATAAAGGGTCATGGTGAAGAGGTTTGGAGATCCAGGGAAAGATTCTAGGAAACGCCGCAGGGGGTGCTGGAGATTTTTGGCAAAGGAGAGCCAGTAGCCACGCGCAGGGAGTGGGGTGAGGTCCTTGAAGGGGGAGGCGATACCCCCGGACTGACTGTGCAGAAGCCCTGGGAGTGACGGAGGCTGTTACCTGCCCTTCCTGTGTTAAGGGCAAAGGGAAGAGACAGAGGTAGAAACCCTAAACGCTGGAGCCTGAGTCTGACGTTCCCTTTAGAAGGTCAGGAGTGGCCCCTTCTAGGCAAATCTTTCCTCAGCTCCTGGAGCCCGAGGTCAGATACCCCTTTCCCCAGCCACCAGCCTTGGGTGGAACTGACTCAGGAGGGGTGGGCGTACCTGGGCCTTCCCGCACCCCCATGCCCACGTGACGCTGCGGCTGCCAGGCTGTGGGAGCCCCGGCCCTCCCAGCCGAGGCCTGTCGTCAGTGGTACCCAAATCAGAAGTGAGAGGAGGAAGTGGAAGGCCAGGCGGCGTCTGAGCGGCGGCCACCACCACGGCACAGCCGCCCAGGCGTGGCTCCGCCTCGGTCACGGCACACAGGCGGGGTGGCTGTGTGTCTGTGGGCACCCCGAGCGACCCCCAAAGCTGCCCGTGCCTTTCCGGCCGATGTTTTCTGAGCTCACCACATGCCACGCACATCATTCCGTATGTGCTCTTACAGTCATGTGAGAATTCACTCGATCCTCGTGACCCTGTGAGATCGGAGCCGTCGTCACCCCACACGGACGAGGAAACCCAGGCCCAGAGAGGCCAAGGAACCTGCCCAAGGCCACTCCGCCGCTGAGCCCAATGTCACCCTGGCAGCCTGGTTCCGGAGGCTGCCGTCTGGCCCCGTTGACCTCGGTTCTTTAAGCCCCACCGTGCCAGGTACTGGCTAGAAACTGGGGTGACTGGTGGGGGCTGGCGTGTGCACTTGTGCAGGGGGACAGGCATGTTTTGAGGAGCAGCAGGCACGCCACCGCCAACGCATTTCCTGGGGCGGCCAGGGGCGGCCGTCTCGGGGCCACCTCAGTCCACCGGCCCAGCTCCTGGCTTCTCTCGTTCCCCGCCTCCTGGGCCCCAGCCCCTACAGCAGCAGTGGGTGGGAGGGTGCTTCCCCCCCTCAGTGATTACACAAGTCCAGATGGCAGACTGCTTATTGGGTTGGGGGCTGGGGGTGGAGTGGGGGCTTTTGGGGAGCCGAAAGCTGGCCCCCTTGGTGCCTGCCTCTCCTTCCTCTTCTCCCCCCCTGGCACCGCCAAGAGCCATCAGCTGCGGGGCCCGGGGGGTGTCGCTGGGGAAACATGGGACGCTATTGTGAGGCATTAGCACAGATGGACCCCTGGACCGTGTGCTGTGAGCTCGACAGACAGCATCTGTGGTGGGGGCGGGGGCGGGAGGCGCGAAAGGCAGGGGAGGCAATGGCTTCTGTTCTCCTCCCATGCTGGAGTCTGAAGGGGCCGCAGGGGAGTATGTGTGTGACGTCGGGCAGGACCACCTCCCGCCCGGCCCTGTGGCAGCCGCGTCTGACGGCTCCCGGGGACACGCCCCCCTCAGGCTGAGCGGCTCCCCCCAGTATCCGGGCCGCTCTGGCTGCCGGCCCCCAGGAGAGGGAGCCCAGGGACTTGCAGGTCACACGCGTGTCTCCTGCCGCCAGCGCAGAGCCGAGCCAGGGTGGGCCCGGGAGAGGCCAGAGCTGTCAGACGCTCCGCGAGAGTTGCTCAAATCCTGGAATTCCACGCCGGAAAGGGCCTTGGTCCGGGAAGGATATCACGTGGCCACATCCTCGCTCAACTGGGGCGGCAAACAGGCCAGGGAGGCGGGTGGCAGGAGGGCACGGGAACCCGCCAGAGCCCGGCCTCGGGCATCCGCTCCGGCAGCTGGTGGCGCCCCCTTCCCCTCGCGAGCTCGGGTCCCTGCCCGCTCCTTCTCCAGGGCGCCGGGTGCTCACCAGCGGGCGGCGGCGCCCTCTGGTGGCCGCGAGTCGCCGGGTCGACCGTCCTGGGGCCCTGAAGGGCGTCGGGCTCCCCGGGGACCCCCTGCCAGAGGGGGGCGTGCGTGCGGAGCCCGGGCGCCAGGTGGTGGCGGGGCTCTGGGCTCTCACACCTGTCGCAGTTAGGGAGTTTTTGTCTTTATTGGCTCAATCTGCTGCAGGTGAACTTCCGAGGGAGAGACCAGCAGCTGGTGGGCTCCTCGGGGACCCCGACCAGTGACCCCCGACAGCCTCTGAGGCCCCTCAAGGTCTTCTCCTTCCAACCTGCGCAGGTCCTCCCAGGCCCCAGCCTTTCCTCTCCTGAGAGGTGGGGGGGCATGCTTCCTGCAGCCCTGTGCTCGGCGTCCCCCCATCCTCCTCCCTCCTCCACACCCCCACTCCAGCTCCCCTGACATCTGTACTGTTCCCCCTCGCTCCTGAGCAGTCCCTCAGTTTTCCTTCCTTCAGTCCCCACCCCTCCCTCTGGGTGGGCTGTGAGGGGGTGCAGCTGGTGGGGCTTCGCCAGCCGCTGAGGCCGAGGTAGGACCCGTTTGGACAAGCCCAGACGCCAAACCGTCACAGCCCCGGGGAGGATGTGGGAGAGCCAGGCCTGCACCCAGACCTGCTGCAGCCCCGGACTCCAGCTGGACGGGCGCTGTTGGTCGGTGTCCGGTATGGCAGAGCGGCTGAGCTGGGGGCCGGGACTGGGAGGGCGGGGTCTCAGGTGGCACTGGGGTCCGCCAGGAATGAGGGGCCGGGCCCCCAGTCGCACGGCTCTGCCTCTCGGGGACAGCCGGCGGGCAGCTGCCTGGGCAGGGAGTGGCTGTTTCTCTTCAAGCTCCGTGTCCGAGAATGCCCACGAGTGCAGTGTTGGTGTGGGCAGCTCGGGCCTGGGGACCCGGCAGCTGTAGCTAAGGCGAAAGCTTGGTTCTAGGAGGCCTGGGAGCTGGGAGGGGCCATCAGTCTCCCCTGCGAGGATGTGGGGGCCTCTGGGTCCGGGCCTGCCTGGAGATTGGGGCACTGTGCCTCAGGGGAGTCTCTGGCTTGGGCAGGTTAGACTGGCGGGGGAGGGGTGGCTCTAGCCGCCTTACCGGAGCCCCATTGTCCCCTAGGAGAGGGACACGCCAGGGTTTAGTGCCCCATCTCCTCCCTCTTGGCAAACACAGCTGCCCTGGAGATGGCCCCGGTTCCCTCTCCTAGGGGACAATGTGGCTCCGGTAAGGCGGATAGAGCCCCCCCCAGCCCCCCCCCAGTCTAACCTGCCCAAGCCAGAGACTCCCCTGAGACACAGTGCCCCAATCTCCAGGCAGGCCCGGACCCAGAGGCCCCCACATCCTGCATGAGGAGACTGCTGGCTCCCGGGGCACCCGCCCCCCACTGCCGTTAGGAATTAAGAAGGCCAGCCTCCACCATGTGGCCGGGCCTGCAATGCCCACTGTCCCCGCCCGCCCCTCCCCTGCAGCACGGCTGCTCCTGTGTCCATCTCATCTCGCTGTAACCGGCCCTAGCACCCAGGACCCCACCACTCCCCAGTTCAAAGCCCCGCCACGGCCTGTCCCAAAGCCAGGCCTGCCTTGTGAGCTACCCCACACGCCACGAGGAAGCTTGCAAAGGAAACCCCTGCTCGATCAGCAGACCGCGGTGGCTGGCGCAGGGCGTGCTGGCCTGGCGGCCTGTGTGCTCTGAGGGCCGGGGGCTGCTCCCCGGCTCCCCTGTCCCGGCCATACTGAACGTCTGTGTTCCTTTTTTTTTTTTTTGGAAGATTTTATTTATTATATGCATAAAGAACTGGGGTACAGGCCAGAGGTGCAGGGGCGGTGAGAGGAGGCAACAGAGACAGAGTAGGGAGCAGAACAGGCAGATCCAGGAAGTACACTGCTGAGGGGAGCAGCTGGGGGGTCAGGAGAGGTCTGCTGGCGTGTGGGTCACCTCCGGGGCGGGGATCGAACTTGCACTGAAGTGGCTGCAGCCAGCTTGCAGTGCTGCGTCCTACCCCACTGCGCCACCAGGCAGAACCAGGACCCCCCTCCTGCAGGACAACAGGCCAGTGCCTTCTCCAAGGCAGGTGCCGCTGCTTTTGACCGTCCACCCTGCTGTCCGACCCGTGCTCCCAGGGCATTGTGGGCCGACTGCACCGGGGAGAAGGCCCCCGGAGAACAGCAGTGCAGCTCACCTGAATGCCAGGGCAAGTGTGGCTCAGTGGGCCTCCCAAAGGCCCCCGTTCTCTGCTCAAACCCCGTGGTGAAGGCGGGAGCCCGGCTAGTCACCGTTCTGCCCGCCGCTCTCCACTCAGGTCGGCACAGGCTCCTGCGGGTGTGTCCCAGCTGCCCCCTTGTTGCGTCAATCCTCCCACCCCATCTCCTGGCCCAGAAGCGCCCCCGGGGGGCCCCCCAGATGTTGTGTGTATTGTTTAGGTCCCTTCCTGTTCTGACTCTAGGACCCCCAACAGCTCAGGGTCTGGCGCCAATTTGGCCGAACACCCGGTGCTGCTGTGCAGGTGGAGATGTGAACAGACGCACACCTGCAGACTTGGGGGCAGACTCCCCGGGAGTGCAGGGGCCCCACCCAGCAGGTGAAGCTCCTACAGGGACGATGACCCCTGAAGGACTTCTGCTTCCAGGCCACCTTTGGAGTCGAGGCGGCAGTATAAATTCTCTCCTGGCGCTCTGGCCTGTGGCCTGGCCTGCCGTCTGCAGATTTGCCAGCCTCCACTGTTGGGTCAGCGTCTTGAAATCCCCCCCCACCCCCCATCGCATCCTCTTGTGTCTGTTTCTCTAGACAACCGCCCCCCCTTCCCGGCTCCATCCAAAGCTGGGTCCTCTGCCTTTTACGCTGCGCCTCTCCTCCCACGCTGAGTGTCTCCTGAACTCTCTACTCTGCTCCTAACTTTGTTTCAGACGGTGCAGTCCAGAAGACACAACCTGGGAGGGCAGAAACTGAAGATGCACACGTCCAAGGCCCACGTGCTGCGCCATCCAAGGCTGGCCACTGTCGCGGGCCCAGACGCCGATCACTGTCCCGCTGTCAGAGGCACGGGAAGAGGCACCAGGCTCGTTGTCTTCCTGCTTTCAAAATCATAGCGCTGTACCTGCGACCCAGCCTAGCGGATGTCGGATCTGCAGCCGTCGCCGCTCAGTCTCAGGGTGGCTCTCAGCTGGGTGAGAGTCACTACAAACCACTCCATCCTTACCTGTTCTCTCACAGACGGGAAGCTCAGAGAGGCCGCTCGCTGTCTGCTGTTAGCTCTGTCCATAACAGAACTGAGGCCAGGGCACGGAACAGTGGCAGGAATAGCGGACCGGGGTTATCGGGGCCAAGTGAGAGGCAAGAAGTGAATTTTCTCAGGCTGAACAGCTGCAGATGAGGAAGCAATGCAAACTCGGCGGAGGGAGCTGTGGACATGTTCTGTGATGAAACGGGGCCGGGCAGCCACGGGAAGGCTCCGGACTTCAGCTCCAAGTACCAGCTTTCCGCGCAGGGCGGGGGCGAAGGCGGCGGTCTGCACTCAGCCCGACGTGCGCTGGGGTCCTCAGGGGCGAGCTGGGGTTCTCAGGGGGGGGCTGCAGGTGGGACCCTGTGCAGGGCGCAGTCTAGTCCATGTGGCACTGGTGGCCGGAGGGGTGTGGCGCGCTCTGCTGCCCCAGGCCCCAGCCTGGCCCCAGCGGGCAGCCAGTGGAGAGGCTGGGGGGTGAGGGGAATGTCGGGGGGTGCACCGGTGAACACCTGGGCTGCTCTGCGCTCGGGGCTGCTGTCCTCCTGATCCTGTTTCCTAATGGACGGGGCTGCCCACCTCGGACGCTGTTTCGAGCATTAGAGCAATTAACACACATAAAGCGAGTTTTGGTGCTTGGCACACAGTCAGTTTTCAAGGTATTTGTTATTCTGCCTGAGCAAGCGCAGGGCTTTGCCGAAATCTGGCCACCCGGACAAGCGCCCTGGGGCCCCACAGCCTCACCCTGGAGCCTGCAGCTGGAAGTCGGGCCACTGTCTCTCATGAGACCGACCCCCGGGAGGGTGCTGCTCGGGAGGCCTGAGCCGGCAGGCGGTGACCTAGACGGCCAGCAGGGACCCGTCTGACCTGGGACCTTTCGACTCAGCACTCCCCACCTCGGGCTCCCTCCGCCTATCAACAGAAAACCACTCACCTGCACACGGAATTATGAGCGTGACCACCGGTCACCTCTTACCCTGCAGCTCACTGAGGAAGAGGAAGCCCATGGGGTTCAGCAGCCTGAGAGACTAGGTGGTTTGTGACAAGCAGGCCCAGAACTGGCTTCTGTGGAGCAAAGAATGCTGTCAGGGTAAACGAGCTGGTGTAGGTGGCCAGGCCAAACCTCTATTCTCACTGGTTTAAATTCTACCAATGACTGGGCTCGAAATAACTAATTACTAAGTGGTCTCTTTCTTGCAAAGAAAACCATGGAAAGCAAAGGCAAGCCCCCAACGCGCTCCGCCCGCCGCCTCCCCACCGCTGAGGACGCCCCAGACAGGCTCCGCTCCTCAATGTGACCTGTGGAGTGGGGACGAGTCACACCCACTCGGAGCGATGGGGAGCGCCCCCCGCCCCAGCATGAAGCAGAGGGTGCCACAAAAGTTCTGTGAATAAAACTTTAATAATGTACAGCAGAAATTGGACAGGCTCATTCTTATATTAAAACAAAAGATTTCCTATATTACATATATTTACATTTGCATACTGAAGAGGTAAAGTGTCTAAGTGGCTATTTTACAGTCCTTTCTAATAAAATGTACAAAAACAAACAGAAGTACCGAGAATGCCGTTCGGGGGCCACAGAAGAACGGGCTTGGCGGGCGAGTTCAGGGGCGCAGGTCGCCCCATGGACCAGGGCCAGCCAGGGGGCCAACGACCACGGCTTCGGTTTCTCCCCAACTCCCTCGCTGCTAACTGGGGTACCGAGAGTGGTGGGGGGTGGGCGGAGGCTTCCCAAACGCTGCTCAGTCTTCCCCAGCGGTGGAGCTGGGCCGCAGCTGAGGGCCACGGGGCCAGTGGGGCCGTGGGGGCAGAGCCGGGCGCGTGGCGCGGGGGCGGGAGCCCAAGTCCCGTCATCGCCCCCACCCCCAGACTCTGCCACAGGGCGGCCAGCAGGATGGGGCAGGAACGGCCCCCTAACGACACAAGTGGTAGTCAAGGGGAGTGAGTGGCCAGTAAATCCCCCCAGGTTTGGGGGAGATCTCCTCTAATGCAAGGAAAGTAACACAGCAGGAAAATAAATAGGAAGAACAGGCGCACTGGGGAGACCAAGGTACGCCGGAGAGGGCGCCGCCCTCCGCACGCTTTGGCAGAGCTGCTGGGCTGGCAGCGGGCGCGGACGGCACTCTCTGTGCCTCCCGGGGCGGCCTGGCTGCGCGGTGGTCTCACAGGACAACAATCACTCCAGGCTCAGAGGCTCTCAGGGTCACTACACAAGCTTCTGGTCTCAAAAGACGGGCAGCCACACCCTGGATTCCGCTCCCGAGTGCTCCCGGACAGGGCCCAGGCCCGGCTTGCTCACAGCGGTGTTCCCGCGCCTGGCACCCCACAGGCACCGGCCAGAGCAGAGGCTAAGTCCCCGGCAAAAAGCACTCCGAGTGGCGAGGGGGGAAGAAGGCGAGAGAGGACCCCAGGGTGAGAGGACTCACGGGGACAGGCTCAGGTGCAAACGTTTCCAGTGTGATCGAGCTATGTGCATTTGGAGAATTTTTTGTGGTTGTTTTTGTAGTGATTTCTTTAAAAACAAACAGATTGAGAGGTAATCATCACATAGAGATGGGTTTCCTTTTATAAAAACAATATTAAAAAAAGTTAAAATCCAGACCCTCCCAATAAAATTAAAAAAATAAAATAAAATAAAATCAAACCACTCCAGTTAAAAGTTATGGCTTCAAAGTTACTGTATCCCTAAGATACGCTGACCGAACCACCCGCACACCGCGCTTCTACGCTCATTAAATACTAGTTCCGGTTAGATGGGGCGCGGCGCCCAGGATGGGCTCTGAGGTGGACGGAGCCTCTCACCTTCCCTCCCCCGGGGCCAGGACCAGGTGGTCCCGGAACAGACCCATGCAGACGGCCCCTCCCCCGCCTCCCCTCCTGCCCTCCCCCTCCCCCACCCTGAACCCACCACCACCACGAATACACACGGCTGTTTCGAGAATCTGGGACACGAAAGACAGATGTGACATTCCACGTGAGCCCCAAGGTCTGGGCCTCACATTGCTGGGCCCTTCCTCGGCGCTGCCGCCCCGACACCTGGGCGCCCCGAGATTCCTTCCCTGCCCTTCCACTCCTCCCTGGCACCTGGACCCAACACCTTGCCTGCCGGGGACAAGGGGGCAGTGCCGGCTCCAAGCCGGGCAGAGCAGCCCCGGGAAGGGCGCCCACCGCGGCCTGGGTGGATGGGGCCTCGGGCGGGCGCCGGGCGCCCTACTACTGACAGGGCACCAGCGCGCAGACGCACGACGACCACACCCCGACCTGCACATGCACAGAAAGCTCAAGCAGGTAAGAGCGCGCCCACAGACTCACACACACACGTAAGGGCGTGGCACGGACCAGGCACAACAGGGACGCACCTCGGCACATGCACACACGGCTGGACAGAGGGCGCAGACGGCGGCCCTGGCGGTCCCACGCGTCTGCGGGCGGGCTGGTCCCCGGAGACTCCGGGCCGAGCCCTGGCCGC